CCCAGGAGGGTGCTTCTGCCTCTGGGGGAATGCCTGGGCCCCCCCACCAACATCTCGCCCCCTGACCTCGGGACAGACAGAGAGGCTGCACCAGAAGCTGGGCTGGGCCATGGCCACTTTTCTGCTCCAGAAGTTCCTGAGGCTGCAAGAAGCCTGGGGGCCCAGGGGAAGCTCCTGGCCGGCCCTGGGGGCACGAGCCGGCAGGGACCTAGCCCAGGGCGCGGGAAGCCTAGGGAGGCTGCAGGAGCTTCCAGAGCAGAAAAGTGGCCATGGGCCCAATCCAGCTCCTGGCATAGCCTCCCCATCTGTCCCAGGGCTGGGGGTTGTGGTGCCAGCAGGCCGCTGGACCCCTGTGAGGCGGCGGGGCCCGGGCCTTCCCCCTAAGATGGCAGTGCCCGTCAGAGCTGCCAATTGGGGGGCGGGGGGCAGCTGGCCCATTGCCACCTCAAGCACGCAATGTAACTGCCGTGCCACCTCCTCACATTTCCTGTGCCCCATCCCTACTGGCCTTTGCTGCCTCCAGTAGCTCTAGGCACTCCCATGCTGCCCCCTTGGCCAGACAGGCCTTTCCCTGATGGGCCCCAGCCTCCTGGCAGCAGCAGGAGCCACCAGAGTGCAAACATGGCCGTGAGGCGTGGGCAGCAAGGGCCCAGCTGGCCCCCTGCATGGCAGGCCCGGGGGCCTGACACTACATCGGGGGAGAGGCCAGGGCCCTCCCCCACACACCCAGGGCCCAGTGGCCCACTGGAAGCTCACCCCCTGGCCCTAGGATGGGCAGGGAGGCTCTGCCAGGAGCAGAATTAGCCCCGCGGATGTTTTTGTGTTCTGGAGGCTCCTGCAGCTGCCAGGAACCCGGGGACCCTCTGGGAAGGGCTTGGCTGGCCTGGGGGACAGTGTGGGGGTGCAGCCGAGGCCACTAGGGGTGGCACAAGCCAGTGGGGACCCGGCATAGGGCACTTGTTAGCCTGGGAAGGCTCCCCAAAGTTGGATCTGAGCTGCTGCACCAGTGTGCTCAGGCTCTGGGCTATTGCAGAGTGGGGGCAGGTGCTGACTGGCTCGGGGGGGCACGTGGCAGGGGGGCTCCCATGCACACTCCACATACCCTCAAACCCTTCCCGCAAACCCCACAGCCACACCCTCCTCCACACATAATCACACACCCCACAAATACCCCCACACACACACACCCCCACAGCTCCCCACAAACCCCACACCCACCCACCCATACCCACCAACACTGCTGCACACCCCACATACTATACAAGAGTAAAACTGCATTTTGAGCTCTTATGCAATCACTTCTACATATACAGCACAAACGCACACAAATCAGGACAAAAATATATATTTTTATATTGAATTAAAATATATTATTATGGGTATTGGATTTTTACTACATAATTTGTTGGGTTTTTTTCCAGTTCTAAGATAGCAAACCCTCTTCTCCAAAGGAGTACTTCCAGGGGCAAGGGGAGGGACTTCCAGTGGCAAAGGTCAGAGGTTAGGGGTGAGACTTCCAGTCCCAAGATGGTGACCAGGGGGCAGGGCTACCCATGTGGCTCTTGACAGCTTGCCAAAACTCAGTAAGCAGCCCTCCGCCCGAAATGATTGCCCGCCCCGATATACAAGGACAACAGTCTGGTAGCCCTCCAAAATGATTTAGCTAGTTCAACATGCAGAACTTTCAGGTCCCGGTCTCTTTATCCCACATGTTATATTCCAATCCCTTCCTTGACTACCAGGTAGAACAGATAAATCTTGCAGAGTGCTCTGAAGGACAATAGACTTGCTCTACTTATTTGGGCGGAGGACAGGCAAGCAACAGTGGGGAGGGGAAAGACACCAGCCCAAAAAAGGTCAAGTGGTTAAAAGAGGTACTTGGGTACCAAGGGTGCATCTATATGTGCATTAATGTGCTTTAGTTAATGTGCATTAAATCTAGTATCTCCATCGTGAGGTACAGGTTTCCCTCAATTTATGCGGTACGTGTGTTCCCGGAGAACGGTGCATGAATTGAATTTGCATTATTAAGCGAACCCACTTTATAATGTAAGAAATAGGGATAGGTTCCCATGAGAGAGAGGAGTGAGGCTGGGACTAGAGATGGGGCAGGGGGAGGGGTGCTGCTCCTGGTGCTGCACAAGGCAGCAAAACAGAGGGAACAAAGCAGCACTCACCTCAGCCCTAGCTGCAGCGGCCCTGGGAGCTGGGCTGCACCATGCCCCGAACCCCCCGGGGCTCTGCCTGTCCCCACTCACCCCAGCTCCTGCTTCAGATGCCACCTTCCTGTAGGCACTGGGCTGCACCGTGCCCTGGTGCAGGCAACTAGTGTTGGCTAGTGGCTAGTGTCGCATTCACAGCACGGGCTGTGAATGCGGACAAGTGGAGCCCCAGGCACTGCGGAGCTGCTGGGGTCCATCAGCTTAAGCGCTTGAGCTCAAGTTCAGACAGCATGTAGAAATTCTCCTATATTCAGTCTGGAACACATTTGGCTGAACTAAATTAAATTGCACACTTTGGTCTGTGGTTTGTCTCCCCGCCTCTGACTAGTCTTTTTAGTCTAAGTTCTTCAGAACAGAGACAGTCCCTCACTGTTATGACAGCATTATGTCTCTGGACAGTACCTAACACAATGGGGCCTCTAGATCTTGCTGTTAACAGAGGAAAAACTGCTCTCACCAGGCTAGCTGAAAGAATACCTTGCACTGAATAAAAAGCAGATCAATCACCCCTACTGTTCTAAAAGAAGCTTTTCATTCCAGTTCCTGGATGATGGGTCATATAGACAGAAGCTCAGGACCCTTCCCCAAGGCCTGCACACATGACATATTTACACAGGTGCAGTTTACACTGGTTTTGTATGCCAATGTGAATTAAAATAGGAACCAGAATGGACAGAATTCTCCTGGGGTAGCTGCACTAAGAAGGTGCCAGGAGGTGGAGCAGGTAACAGCCCCTTTGTTATGAGCAAATAGCTACCCCACAATAAGCTAAGGACAGATGACATGTACTCCAAGGTAGTTTTTTCCTCTTGATTTTTCCCAGTGTGATTTCATACCAGATTTGAGTGGGTTCCATCAGAGCAATCTGCATGTTACATGACCACTCCTTGACACCAGTGTGAAGACCAAATACACTGGCATAAATGTCTTGTGTCCAGGGCCTGAGTTTGAACTGTCCACTGAATCAAGATAGATCTTTCCACTGATTCCCCCTAGCCTCCCCAAAATCCTGGAGATCCTTCAGTCAGTGTATCCTGCCCAAGCCCCTCCATGCACAGTTTGAACGTGCCAAAGCCATGCAGCCCAACTCATTTGTGATTCTGCTCAAGTTTTGTCTCACACGAGGGAAAAGAAAAATAAACAGAAATTCATTTCCAATTAATTAGCAGCCTCTTGGGCCCCTGGAAGTAGAGCACTTTCTACAGTTTTCTCCTCCAACAGCAGACAGTAAGGGAAGAGCATCCTGGAGTGAACCTGTTCAATGGACCCATTTGGCTCCTGCATAATACAAAGGTCTGATTATTATTCCATCAGTTTTATCATCTTGAAGTCCAAGAGGAACCACTGTGATCACCAAGTCTGACCTTCTACATAGCACAAGCCAAAATCCTTGGTAAGCTGTTCCAATGGTTAATTATCATTGCTATTAAATCAGGGGCCAGCAATCTTTTACAAGTCATAGGCCAGAACAGCCTAGCTCAATGTGGGCCAGGTGGCTTCAGTGATGCATCAGTGGCAGGGGCCTTTCCCTGCACCCACACCAGAGCCAAGCATCTGGCAGCCCATGCCACCATTGCTTCTCTCACCCCCACAGGCCCTGGCTGCAGTGTGGGGGCAGGTTTCAGCTGGTTGGGAGCTGCACTGAGATCAGGTATCTGCAAACTGATCCCACACTGCTGCTGCTTCTCCACCTCCACCCCCAACTATGGCATGGGCACAGCTTCTAACTGGGCAGGGGGTGGGCAACAGCAACAGCAGCCTCAGCCTACAGATACCTGGTCCTGTTGCAGCTCCCCATTGACTAAAATCTGTGCTCACACTACAGTGGGAGGAACAGGGGCCAGGATTAGCAGCAGTGGCACAAGCACAGCTCCCAGCTCCCTGACCATGATGCATATCTGCCTCCAACATAGCTCCTCCTTGCCCAGCCCCAGCATGGGCATGGCTATAGGTAAAATCCTCCAGCTCTGCAGGCCAGATCCAGCCTGGGGGCCTTATGTTGTAAAACCCTGCATTGAATTTGTTTCACAAGATCTATTTTCCATAAACCCATGTTGATTGGTATTAGTTATATTACCTCTCTCCATCCTTAATTGAGTCCCATAACAGCCATTCCTTTTCTTTTTTGGCATCTAGGACTCATAATTATACCAATCACATTTGGCCTTTCTAATTATTGGCGGAACATTGGCTTTCTTCCAGTACTTGGGGACTTTTTGGGTGTTCCAAGACTTACTACAAAAACTCTAATAACCCAGATTGTTCTTCAGCCAGCTCTTTTGCAACTCTTAGATGCAAGTTATCCAGACCATTTTAAAACTGTAATTACTGTCTAACACTCCCCCTAGTTAGTGTGCTGGAGCAGACACTGTATACAATATGAATTCATACAATATGAATTCATCTGTCTGGCTTTATCTAAATTCATTTTTTTTAATTTAACACTTCTGTCTCTTCTGTAATATTAAATAGCCAGTGGGAGTTGCATACATTCAGCCTATAGGGAAGCTGGCTTCCAAAATTTCTTGTGTTATTTCCAAGTACTGGGGAATTTCATTTCTATTTTAAATTGGTCTGCCATCAATCACATGCTTATTTCTACTCTTCTATTTTCTGCAAGCAGGAAACACTCACTCAGAGTAATGCCTTTGTAGGCTTTTTAACTACACACAGTGGCATTCTTAAAGCTACAGTAAAATGACCTCTGTTAATCAGAGCTCCCCTCCCTTCTTCTCTTCAGTATGTGAGGGCTAGCTGGTAGTGATTTGGCCCAGGGGTTTTGAAAGGGTAAAAGATGATTGGAAGGCTTGGGGTTCCCTTTCCTCACTAATCAGGCCCCAGAGACTCCCCCTCCATGTCCCCTGATTGGCCCCTCGGGTCACCTGGAGGGGGATAAAAGGGACAGCACAGCTGACTTGGAGGGACCAGCAAGAGACCACAAGGAAGGAGTTTCAAAGAGCTGGCAAGAGCTGGGCCAGCAGGGTGGGAGCAGTTGCCCCAGAAGAACCTGAAGGAGTGGGACCTGCAAGCAGCAGTTGGACCCTCAGCAGGAGAGGCTCCCTCCTGGGCTCCAGGATCTCCTTACGAGAGGCTGCAGCCAGCAGGAGAGGTGCCCCTCCTGCAGCAAGAAGCTGAGCAGTGACCTGAGAGGTTCCCAGCTCTGCTTCCAGCTCCTCCAGCAAGAGGCAGAGCAGCTCAACATGAGGCAGGGGCTCCTGGAAGGTCAAAACCCCTAATAGCTTAGAGCAGTCCCAGTACTGGTGGCTTTGTGGTAGAGTTTCTGCCTACCATGTGGGAAATCTAAGTGCCAATCCCAGCTGGGTCAAGTAGGGGTGAGTGAAGTGACAAGGAGAAAGTTTTGTTGCAGTGGAAAGGGTCAGTGTGTTTTCCCTCGTTCCCCCCTCCAGGTACCTATGTCCTATATCTCTTGTTATTTGACATTTTCTACCTTGTGCATTTTATATTTTGCCAACCAGTATCATTTGTTGTGCTGTTTGTGTTTTATACTTTGTTAAACCTGTCTTTTGTCAACTGGATGAATATGTCTACGAATGTAAATGCCTAACCTTTATTGAATCCCACCCCCTTGGGGTGTTGTAGTGTCCCCTATAAGCCCTGGTTTATATATGTTATGTTCCCACTACTGTTTCTCATTAAAAGGTGTATGGTTAAGTCCCCATTGGTGATTTGGCTCTGCTCTATAGGGGAAGGAGGGTCCCTACACCTCCCACAGCGCTTGTGCACCTGCTCTGATTGATCCCTTCAGTTGAAGAGGAGATACTGCCGGGGTTACAAGTATAATCCCTGCAGCAGCATAAGGGTGAAAACAGACATCACAAATACTGAGGGAATGGATATAGATACCTTTTGTTGCACCATGCACGTGAAAGGAAAAATCAGTGGTGTAACAAAAGGTGGTAATAGACACACTGCTACTTTATTGTGGTGGATGTCTATTACCTCTGTGGTGAAAGAGTACAAGCATCCTGAGTTGCCTGCGCTCTCCTGCCACCGCAGGCAAGTGCTTCTGGGGCTTAGGGGACCCTCAAGCACTTGGAACACCTTCCCGCTTTCCCCGCTTACAGAGGGGCACCCCAGGGAATCTCAGGGTGTCTCTCCATAAACGGAAGTCGAGGTCCATGCTCAGCCAGATCCTCTCCTCCACAATTGTCAATATCCTGGAGAATGGCTCTTTCCTTCCCAGCCAGACCTGGGGCATGGGTTGGACTGAGTGGGGAAACCACATCACTCTTTATCGCATGCTACCAAGGGTGGGACAAGGGGCTACATGTTTCATCCAATGAAGTGGATCAGCTGTGCCATGGCAAACAGATTCCTTCTTCATTGGGTGTCACTGGTATATGGTGGCTTGGAAAAAAGCTAATATGGTGCCTGAAGCTGCCCTATTTAAATCACTGGGAGCTTTGCTAGTCATTTCAACAGATACAGTGCTAGGCCCATACTGATCTCCAGAAGGCTTGTTAATAGGAGGGATTTAAGATTAGGAAAACAGAAGACAACTGAGAGGGATCTAAGGGAGTAATTCACAAGCTCTGAAGGTTGGGGGGGAGCAGGCATGGCATATTTTTGCAACGTAGCAGCATGGGAGAATTATCTAAATACTGCATGGCTAATATAGGGCTACCTTGGTTACAAAAAAGGAGATCTCTCAGTATCTAGCAGGTGAGCATTTCTGAACCTGGAGGCAGGATGCATTCAGGCAGAGGGAGAGAGACAGGGATGAAAAGCTGAAGGACACAAGATCCTCCTCTGCCCTCCGCTGCACACAGACATTGGCTGTTATAGTTTTTTCCTCTCCTTCCCTTCTCTGATGCTCTCTAATGCCATGGGAGCAGCACAGAAAGTGGCAGCTGAGGGAAAGCTGGAATAAACTTGCAATGGGGCTGAAACACAGAGCAAAGAACAATGGGACCCTAAGTGCTATACAATAATGCCAGGAGCTGCTCAGGTGCCTTCCTCAGGCAGAGACTTCCAATGGCACATCTGCCCATCCCCTCTACTGCAGATAACCCTTCTAATACATATGGGAGTGTGGAACATGGGCAGGTAAAAGCACATGTGTGTTGAGGACGCAGGGCATGCTAGTAGCCTGGTAATTCAAACTTCCAATACCTCCAGAGCCAGCAGAGTTGCAGTGAGCCTCAAAGCCCCATTCAACCTATCTCCACAATTCACCCCAAACCCAGGCAAAAGGCCCACGGGGACCTAACCCCAAAACCCTAATTTAAAAGCAAGCAGAGGTGCATGACACTCAGTAGTCACAGCTGACTTCTGCTTTAAATACCTTCATTCCTTACACACTCAACTAGCTATGGGTCAGGAAGCCTGCGGGTACCATAGATAGTGCCTAATTCACCATTTGGATGGTCCTGGGCCTGGCAGCCAGAACCTAATACACCAACTTTGATTCTTGGAGATTCACCTCACAGAATCCTTTCACCAACTTGGATATCTAGAAACAGAGCATGAATTTCATTTCCCTGTTATCGTAGCCCAGGGATTTGTGTATAGAGCCTCATTCACTCAAGAGACACAGGCCTCACTGCCTGATGCTTTCCCTA